CCAAAGAGAATATAAAGTTACTTACATTGTCTATCTTGGGCTATGGAAATAATTCACTATTTTTGTTGTTTGTTTGTTTCAATAGCAGAAAAGAAAATTCAGAGGAGAAAAAAAGCCCTTGTTTGGATACAATTGGATGTAGGAATTTTTCCTTTCCAGAAAATGAGCACAACTCTCTGTTGTGTCAGAGTGGTTTTTCTTTCTCTTGAAATGTCAATACATGTAGTACTTGTGAGAAAAGCCCTAGTTGGTATGACACAACTGTTGAAGACAAAAGTGTCCTGTTGTGCAGGAGGTCCCCGACTCTGGGAGTATCTCTAGGAGAACATCTTGGGGTACAGCCTCCTTCAGTTCCCACTTTTGGCTTAAGGAAGTTCAAACCCATCTCACCTTCCTCCAGGAGGAGTGCCTTGGAATCTACTTGCTCTTTTGGATGGTTGGTGAGGGGATGTATGCAGTCTCCTGGTGGTGTTCCAACTTCCATCCAGGGAGGTGGTGGAGTTTCCATACCTGGAGGTTTTTGAGAAAAAGGTAGATGTGGCATTAAGGGATATGTTCTAGTGTGGTCATAGGCACAGGTTGATGGGTGGACTAGATGATCTTAGTAGTCTTTCCAACCTTAACGATTCTATGATCCTATGATAATATTAAATGGGACAATGCTGCAGGCTGGTATCACTCACGAACACTGAACAAAGTCAATAAGAACTCACATACTGGAAAGCTTCCCAAGCTAGCAGTTTGAACTGTCCTGTATAAAGCAGCTGGTGAAATTTAAGCTCAAACAGGGAATAAAAAAGAAAAAAAGAATAAAGAAGTTAAACCTGCAATGCTCAGTGTTAAGCATGTGGAGCTGTTAGACTAAAGGAAAGAAGATGGAAGCTGCCTTCATCTTCTCCAACTGTGTTTTATAACTCATCTCAGCCTTACTGTGATGAATGTGATTATGGTTATTAGAGCTGAAACAGTTTTGTAGGGGTTGAATTAATGAGTAATTGAAAGATGATAAAAATGGAATCTTCTAGTGTATTTACTATTCCCCTCTCTTCAAAACAAAAGAAAATTGTTTTTTCCAAGCTACAGGAAGCAATGATTTAATTCCACTCATTAATGATAATCTTTCAAAGAATACTTAAGGAATCTGGTCTGCAGTAGTGCACAAAGTTGTTCAGATTCATCATAGTGTCTACTGGAGCTATTTGGCCAAAATCAGAGTGAAATCCATAGATATCCAACTGCGACTACATAGATGTATCTGCCAGGTTAAGGTGAAGTCACAGAGACATAAATTGCAGCATCTGAGACCACTTAAAAGGCTAATCCAAATCCTTCTAAACTCCATAGGGTTCTTCCCACTCCCTTGCAGAGTTGCTAGTCTCAATTCCCAGTCCTCATGTTGATGAATTTTCATGTGAACCCCAAGTGTGCAGACAGCCATTCTTTCACAGGGAAAGAGCTCCAGCTAGTAAAAAGCCTTATTTATTTATTTATTTATTTATTTTTAATTTTAGTTACCTACAAATAATGCGTTTTTTGTATTGATTTCCCATGGATGTTGTTGTGAATGATAGAATAAATCAAATTTCTTATGGTCTGTTGCAAGGTATAACACTGTCTTGTGAAAGAGATGAAATTTATTTAAGATAAGAATTCATTCTTCTCCATTGCTGGTGTCCAGCAGAAGGTAAATACTCATTCACTGTGTATTGTTCGTACAGACTTGCAAAAGCATGCACACTGGAAGAGTATTCCTTCTCTAGCTGTTATTGTTTCCTTTATAAATGAAAGAGAGAAAAAATACAAATGTAGAGGTGGTTTAGGAAAATTCTTTTGGTTGCATATTCACACATTTATAATGTATGGTATCTAAAATACAAAAACTGAAAAGAAAGACTATAGATAAAGTCCAACAAAGTTCTAAAATAAGTTAGAAGCTAAATATAAATCAACCAGACAGCTAAATAGGACTTTTGCATCTGAAATAAAATCAAGATGGACTGGGTTTGTCTGTGCCAGGGCAAGTGGCTGTCTGCTCATTTGGTTTGTCCACAGGGTAAGAAATTGTAGGCTGATGCCTCAAATAAATGATGGGGAAGGACGACTTACAACTCATCCTGGAAGCATCAATCTTATACATACATACTATTATGCCAAATTATATTCCTAGTAGAATTGGGTTTGGCAGAGAAACAAGTAGTAGTCTTAGAGTTTTCTGTAGCAGAAAAAAATAAATTTAGGAGATTATTTCCCTCTTAAATGAGAATGTAACCTCTGAACTGAGTAGCTTTCTTAAGAATTATCAAAATCTACCAAAATTAAGATCATCATCACATAAAATTCAGCTTTACTCAGAAGACCTTCATTTAGGTCTTCTTGAGGGAGAAGACTGGCATTGAGTGAGACTGGCACTTATGTATTTTTCAAGATAAAGAAGAACAACGCTGTTGAAAAACTAACCCATCCCTTTTTCTTTTACTTCTCATTATAAGATTGTAGCTGGTGGACAACAATATTGATCATGATGCATTAGGGTTTATTTTAGAATACTGCAAGTGTGAAAAATTTGAGAATCATGTTTTTCCTAATTAAATAAAACCACATCTGAGGATATCTGGGGCTTCAGGGTTGTATTTATACCCCTTGCACATTTGACCATACTGAAAGCCCTCTTTGGAAAATACTCTTTCAGAGGATTTTTAAACATTTTGAGAACTGTCACTTATAATGCATCTATAGTTGAGGCCTGCCTTTCTAAGATTTTTCTCATCTCTGTGATCATTTTTAGGATTTTTCACCTCTGAACATTCTAAAACTAATTTCGTTCAATTATCTAGGAGAATTTTGTGAATAATGTAAAGAGGATACATACACTTAGTTATGCTTTATTTTGTGACTGACCAATACTTTGTATTTATTCTGTAGTTGAGCCTATAAATAGTCACTTGAAGAGCTCACATGAACAGGATGTTAAGTGTGTAAGAGCATTGCTGCCTAGTGCAGTTGGGGACTGCTACATTGCTCAGAGGTTCTGATAATAGGCTGTCTTAACATTAAATGTTTGAAAGGTGGTCCTAAAGCTAATAATGTATCTCATTAATATGAATAGGCATTATTAATGATTTAGTCAAAGCATGTTTAATCATTAATCATTAGAGGTAAAGGTAGAAGCATAAAATGGTCTAGGTTGGAAAAGAAGTTCAGGATCACCAAGTCCATCAACCTGACCTACTGAGTCCCAACACTGAAGCACTTTTTTTAGTCCGCACATCTCTTAAATACCTCTGTGGTTGAGGACTCTACTACTTCCTTGAGCAGCCCTTTCTAGTTCTTGACCACTTTTTTTCATGAAAAATTCCTCCCAGTATCCAAACTAAAACTTCCTGGGCACAACTTGAGTCTGTTTCTTCATGCCCTATTACTTCTCAGCTGAGAAAAGAGACTGACCCCCACTTCTACACAAATTCCTTGGAGATTTGGAAAGAGCCATGAGATGAAGTGTCCCCTCAAAGTCCTCTTCTTGCTTTCTCCAATCTGTGCTATGTTATAATACATCTGTGAAGAATTACGTAACTTCCAGAAGATAGTATTTTACTCCAGCAGTGGTTGATTGAATGGATGGCCTGAGTGGCCAGAGAGCTGGGACAGGCCCTCATAAGGCTTCAACAGAATTTGTGACACAGCCTGGGCCCCTCATAGGATCTTAGTCGTTCACCTCTCTTAATGTACAGGCTGTTGTCTCACAATACTACATGACAAATCCTGAGCTATAAGACTAGTGGGAAAACTTAATGTTTTATAATCATTATCCAAAGTCTTTGTGCTGGTGTGACCCCAAGGAAACCTGTGAAGTTTGCTTCCTCTGCTGAAAATCTTCCCTCCTCCCTTCCCCAGACTCCACGATACAGTTTTGATCTTCTGTTTCTTTGTACATTTCAAAATGAAACCTTTCTCTCAGCTTGAATGGAGATTTTATCAGGGCCTTTGAGTCATTTTGACTCATCCCTGAATTTGGCTCACCATGCCTACTCTGCAATTTGAGGAAAATCTTGCCAAACAACAGGGTGTGGAGAATGTCACACATACAGAGCATGTTCAGAGATTTTTGCACATGGTTTTCTGTTTGTGCTTTTGGCCAAAATTAGGTGGAACAGCCTCAGATGATCACTGAACCCTTCAGGGTAATCTGAATTGTGCAAAAGTACTTTGCTGCTTAACCTCAGTCAGGATTTGCAGCTGCAAAGGAGGAAAGGATTGCTTTGAAACCTAAACTGATACTTTTGATATCATTACTGACAACTTGATTCTGTTTTTCTGCTTTTTAATTTTTTTCCTAATTTCCCTGTAACATATTAAGGATGGTTGGTTAAATTTATGAGTTCTACTGTTTGCAAATGGTCAATATGCATGTAATTCTATTTGTCTACTATCTGCTTGCTTTTTTTTTCCTTTTGTTTTTTCTCTTCTATTCCTGCCCTTGTTATAATGAGAATGAATATTTTATTCCAATAAAATCTTTAATAACTAAGTAGAAAACAAAACCTGAAGCTGACTAATTTATATGCCATGCCCTGGGAGAAAATGGATGTTAGAGAAATACAGATCAAACGATTTCCTGTTACTTGTCTTCTTAGTATATCTCTTGTGAATTCCTTACAAGTCTGAAGGCAATTGCCAGCTACAAACTGTTAGGATTTTTTTTTCCAATTTGTAAGCATCCAGGATTTTCCACCAGTTTGTGAAAAGAGTGGGGTTAAATGCATGCCCTGAAGTAGAGATGGAAATGATTGTTAATCTCTATTAATCTACTTTTCCTGTAATCAAACACATGTGGTGTTGGTTTTTTAGGGGTTAAATTGTTAATGATACTAAATTGGCCATTGGAAATTGAATCATGCTACAAATATTTCCCTTAGTGCCTTCCGGCTGTCTTGTATTGAAATAGATGAAAGAAAATGTGTTTTATCATTTAAGAAATATATAATTGCATTGCCTTCTTGCAGATGCCATCCCACCAAGCTATTACAGCCTTTACTTCAGAATCGTTAGATTTGACGTCTCGGCGATGGAGAAAAATGCATCCAACTTGGTGAAGGCTGAGTTCAGGGTCTTCCGCCTGCAGAACTCGAAGGCACGGGTCTCGGAGCAGCGAATTGAGCTGTACCAGGTAGGGTTCCAGCTGTTACTGCTGTCTGTCAAAAGTAGTTTATTTTCTGTGTCTCTCCTGGAAGCAGCTTCATTCAAAGTCTTACAAAGCTGAAATACACACGCTTTCTAGAAAAGTGTGCCTCGGGACTCCAGCATTCAGCTTGACTTCTGTATGGTGGCCCAGGGCTTCGAGCGAGGCAGTGGAAAATTCAGGATTTGTGGAGAGGGGAAGAAAATGATCTAAAGATTTTTTTTTTTTTTACTCTGTAGTGTTATTGAGACTTTTCTCTCTTTTGTTTGTTTTCTGATTGCATTTCCCTGTTCAGTGGTAATATTAAATGATTTATGAACTTGATCAGATGACGTTGTCACTGAAAGAAGCAAATTCAGTCTTTCATAGAAGCCATCACAACCCCACAAAACTTCCTCTGTGTGTAAACAAACTCAAGCAGAGACTCCTCTAGCTAGATAGTGAGTCAGCTTGCACACATGCTAAATCCATTAAACTCAACTGCAAGGATTCTGTGCATTTGTTTGTGGAAATACTGGCTAGAGCGTATTTTGTGTAAAGCATAGTTCATCTTGCTGAGAAGCTCAAAAGCAAAAAGGGATTCGACTTCCAACAGGTATTTACTGGGTAAAACTCATGGTTGTTCCATCAATTCGGCACTTGTTCAGCTGAAAACCTGCTAGGCAGAAAGCTATCCTGTAAACTATACCAAACCCCTCTTTATCTCTGTTTTTGCTACCCTTATTTGCTGTATCTGAGCACTGCTGTGAGTATGCAGCCCCACAGAGCCTGGGTCAGATCCTGTGGGTGCGAATTCGAATTAATCATCACCCTTACTTTCAAAGTTCATATTTTGCTGCCTGATTTGCTTAAGCACAAACCTAGCTGGGAGTAGACAGAGCAGAATCTGTGCTCGTGCTTCTTGAAGTGACGGTATAAGCCAGACTGAGACTGAGGGCAGTAAATGATGCTCTGGGATTTTAAACATGATTTAAACAGGACAGAAGTGTGATTCCCCGCTGAATGGGGTTCAGGTCTGCAGGTGGTCACCGGGTGCTTGCTGTCAAGATTGCAGCCTGGCCGCGTGCATTCCGTGAACTGGCAGGCAGAAAAGGTGCCTAAGTAGCATTTCACTTGTTAAGAGAAGTAACAGAAATCTTTGCTGAAAGCCACTGGTGTGCTCAATGTCTGACAGCCATCACAAAGAATTACTCTATGAGTCCCTGTGATGGTGTCACACCAGCCTGTCAAAACAATCATATATTCTGGCTTGACCTCACTGTTCAGACATCCTAAATGGAGATAATGGCATCTCTGGGCTTTCTGAGAGCTGTTAATCACACACCTGGAAGAAATACAGCTGACATTCCCTGAGCTCGGCTCATTGCACCTCCATGTTTGAGGAATGTGGGACAGAAAGGGTTCGGCGGAGGTAGGGAAGAAAGGCCCTTTGCACAGCTGGGAATTTGCATTGTGATGAGAAACAGCTGGAGCTCACTTGAGAGAGGCTGACTCCAGCAAGCCTGTGCCCATGAAAATAACTGACACCTGCACCCACAGCAGATACTTGGCTTCCTTATATAAATATATAGCCAGTGAGTAAGGCAGAGTGGGTGGAGATATACTTGGTGAAACACTGGGTAAGTAATGAGTGCAGGCTATTGTAGATAATGGGGCTTTTCTATACCTAGTCATATGAACCAGGGGCAGCAAGGTGAGTGTGTTTGTGCTGGGTTTTCATTAGGCATGTTACTTGCTGCCTTACTTGTAGAGAGGCAAGCTGTCCCTGGAGTGTTTTTTTTTTTTTTTTTTTTCAGGGAACTCATCAATTAGTAAGAGCTGCCTGTTAGTGCTTTTTTGTGCCACTACTCTGCCTCTTGGTCGTATTTACCCCTTGCAGTCTTATGTACAGTACTCTTCATGCAGGTGTTATGTTAGCTCTGTGTTGACTTATCTGAATTGCATGGATTTCTTACCAGGAGTCCCTCAACCTTCCTACATCTCTCCATCACAATGCCTGAGGCTGCATGCAGTGTTTAACAGGTGTAGCATCACAAGAAGTAATGGGAGAGGAGGCTTTATTGTAGGACAGTGCTATAGAAGAATCCTAAAAAAGAATATAAGCTTTAGAAGGTAAAACAAGGGAAGTCTGAGGAACAGAATGTAGGGAAGATGTGCAAGGTGATGCTGGAAGAAGTTCTGTATTGTGTAATGACAAGAGTGACTGACAAGAGTGACTTAACAGAGGACCAAACATGGGAGGTAAAAGAACGGGGAGGATGCCCATTTCAGTGGAAGTGGGAGAGAGAAATACATCTTGTAAGGGTTGAAAACTTTTTCAGGTATATTTGCCTGAAGCATGAGAAGCCAAGCATGGAGACAGAGCCTCTTAGAGATTGCTGGAAGATCTGGCAAGTGTAACTGCTGCTCCTCCTCCCTTCATAAGCACTGTTTCCTGTCTTGTGAGATAGTGCTGGGCTTGCCAGGGCTGTTGTGCCTAGAAGCAACAATGTGGTTTTTCATCTTGCATAAGCAACATTTAATTATTTAGTCCCCGCCCCCTTTTTTTTTTTTTTTTTTCCTTTTTCTTTCTTTTTTCCTCTCACCAACTTTCAGGTTGCCTTGTTTTGCTTTGCTGAACTCTCCTTGATGAGAGTTTTTGAAATTCCTCTCATACCTTTAATTTCAGGGAGTAGTTGTTCCTGTGTCTTGTCTTTTCCCATTAAGCAGGAGGAGAGAGGCAGAAGTGTCCTTGGGAGAGCCAGAGCTTGTAATTCATTGGCAGGCTGGGATCCCCTGCACACATGTAGGTACCCCAATGCAGTCTAATTTTGGCCAGTGGCAGTTTAGTAGCAGTGTATATACTAGTGGTGCAGAAAGGACAATACTTCTCTGAAAGCATGCGTCAGGAACAGCTAGAGACAGATGTGCAGGATAAATAGGAAAATTAAGCAAGCAAAGCATTAATATTTTTTCTCCTGATTCTTTCTCTGTGTGGTCCTCTGACCATAGAGATCTACCCCTTAAAATGAGAAAGAGATGCAGCACTGCACCTTTCAACCAAGTTTTCCTCAGGCTGCACTTGGCTTCTTTTTCCAAACCACATCAGAGGAAGACTTTGTGTTTTCCTGCAGAGCCCTGATTTGCACTGACTGCAGGAAGGCAGTCTGGGGCTGTCTGGCATGGCAAGCCTGGGCTTCTTGCTCCCAGCAAGACCCCATCCCACCCAGCACAGTTAGATGCAGAGGACCGACCTTAATGCATTTATTTGGTTTGTTTGTCCACTGGGCAAACTGGCTGTGCCCTATGGTGCGAATGGGATTCTGAGTAATAGGTTCTGGAGGTGAATTCTTCTGAGAGTGAGGTAGACATATGCCATCTCTCAGGTCCATGGGTAGCCTGGCAGCTTGTTGGCTCCACATTCACAGTTCCCTAGCTAGGATGTTTGCAGACTGCTTGGGAGAGTGTATTCACAGAATTCCTGGACCGAAGTTAAGCCCCCTTTCAAAGTGCTGGCTGTCCTCTGTTCACTTCCAGCTGAGTGCTGAGCAAAGCTCTGACAGCAGCACAGTGAGACATGCTGCACCTCGCCATCCTCCTCCTCTCCCGAAGCCGGGGGGAGCAAACGGTAATCCCCAGGAGCAGAAACAGTTTCTTTAATGTCTGTTTTCAACCAGAATACTTTTCTGGGTATTTTAGGATTAGTCAGTCACATCTGTGTGTTCCTGTGCAGATGGGAAGCATGCATATTAAGTAGTCTTAATGATGGGGAGGGGGAAAAACAACAAACCTCATAGAAATGGGAATTAAGCTTCTTTTATAAGATTGGTATAAAAGCTTCTGTCTTTTCTTGGCTCTAGTTAAGTGAAACCACATAGAATTTAATTCTTTAAAGGCACCATCTTTTCTGCTATTTCTTCTGCCTAAAAGCAAAGGTTAATCCCTAGTTCTGCTGAGCATCAGCACATTGGAGAGTGGGAAGCTGCAGGGAAGGAAGGAAGCAACAGAACCTCAGAGGCAGCGGCTCCATACTTCACTTTCCACTGCAGCATCTTCACTTGATGCACTTCTTAACGTGCACCAAGCCTTCAGAAAATACTGAGAGGATAAAATACTTCTAGGGGAGGGAGGAGGAGTAATATTAAATAAACAAGTTTCAGCATCCTCCAATGGCCCTCACTATGTTTTTAAAGATTTATGCCAAATTCAGGCTTTATTGGAATTTGATCAGATAAAGCTCGGTTGCCATGAGAACGTCTCTGTTCATCAGTTTTCTTGCCCGCTTTGAAGACTTCATCACATTTTTCTTTTATTAAGGTGCTTCTGTATTTATGAATAAAGTACCTGCTCCCTTTAGAAAAATCTTGCCTTTTATGAATGAGCATTCCAAAAAATAAATGGGCAGCACTGCAAAGCTGGACAAGTGAAAACCCTTGTGGGGTGAAAAACAGTACTTCAGTATTGTTTTTGAGATAGTTTTATTGTGTACAGATGATCAAACAATGACAAGTAATGACTGCTTCCTCTAGAAGCAGTACTATGTTTTGGTACTGCATCATAAAGCATCACAGAAAATACATCCAAAGAGCTGGTTTCTAGTGTCATTGTCCTAGGCTGCCATGTGTTGTAGTTAGCTACTGGATGGTGAATGGGGGTCCTTACCATATGAAGTGTCCAAGGTTTGTGCAGCACCAGGCTAATGCCCAGGAGAAAGAACACTGCTTTGAGATGTAGAATTGACAGCCACCAAGAACAGCAGACCTTAGGTCTCTCCAGCTGCTTAGGAGTTGGACTCAGTGATCCTTATGGGTCCCTTACAACTTGGGGTATTCTATGATTCTGAGTTGAGTATGGTCCTATCTATGCTGAGGGCACCCACAACACTTGTATGGGGCGCAGGAAGAAGTGGCCATCTTCCGGACAATATCAGACCTGGTTTCTTTAAGGGCCTTTCTCCTCTGTTGGAGGTATAAGGAAGATGCAGTGGAACATATTACCCCACTATGAGT